GTATCTTGGATAATTACCTGGCAATTAATATGAGCTAACTAGTCCATGTTAACCCACTAAAATGGCCATCTCGAAACAATCATTTGCCAAGAGTAGTATAAGCAAAACTCGTTTCTTGGAATTAAATTACTTGCTGATACAAGGGTAGATGAAAAAAGCTTCTTTGAATTAGATGCTACAAATATCTTTAAGTATATAAGGTGTGATTCACGTATGACAAGCAAAATAAGAATCTTGTCAAGAAAAAGATATACCTGATATTCATGATGAAAAAGACAACCCTTATATATGGTGCAACTCTGAATGGAAGATAATCGAAGGCCACTGGCGACAAATATAGGGTATAAATGACAAAATCGGCAACCAAAATAATTGTGCAAACGACCTGGAAAATGGGGAAGATATAGAATCAATTACATAAAAACTACTACATCATAGCCACCAAAACCTGATAGGGTATTGACAATTCATAAGGAAGCGATTCCAAATATTAGAATGTTGACTTGCCTATTCTAGAAAATTTTTAAAACTACCTTTAACCAAGGGTACAAGAAAAATATATAGCAATGATTATAATCGTAAGATGAAGTGCGATATAAACAAAATGTATAATTCATAAGATAATAAAATATGATAACCCAACATTTCATCATTTCAGTAGGCTCTGGTTGTATGTTCAAGTTCAACATATCAAAAATACTTCAGTGAAAGCAATAAATCTTGCATTTCTGCCGAAGCTTTTTAGTCACTTAACAAACTTTTTTCGTTTCCTAGAAGACATCCATCTAATTATTGCTAATCTCTTGTATGGATAACGGTTAGAAATAACGAACCTCTACAATGGTATGATATTATCCACTTTGAACCTAAGCTATCATGGCTTTACTTTTGGTTTCTCCACAAAGCCTCATTCCAATAGAGATGGTGTTTCTAACTTATAAACCCATGATCTTCCCCTTAATTCGCCAATGTGGGACAACTCTTCCCAATAGTCCTCAACAATCCTCCACTTGAACAAATACACCATAAAACTTCCCCTAAGGTCTCCTTCTCTGGAACCCTTGGAACCGCTCTTCTCTGTAGTGAGTCCTTTGACTACACTTTCGAGGCTCACAACTTCTTTGTTCGACACTTGAGAACTCTATTGACATGACTAAGTTAAGGGCATGGCTCTGATACCATAGTAGGAACAATGAACCTCCACAATGGTATGATATTGTCCACTTTGAGCATAAGCTTTCATTGCTTTACTTTTGGTTTCCCCAAAAGGCTTCATTCTAGTGGAGATGGTGTCCTTACTTACAAATTCATAATCTCCCCTTAATTATCCAATGTTGGACTACTCCTCTCAAATCATCAACAATAACTTCCATAAGGAAAGAAAATAATTTATATGTGCACTTTTGACATTAAGGGCATAAGGAAGTTGTCTTTATGCTCAAATTACTCAGAAACATGAAAAGTGAATGTTTTCCAATTACCAAGTATCGATCCTTCAAAACCATTCATAATTCAAATTACTTCAACTTCATTTATAATTCAAATTACTTCAAGTTCATTTGAAGTTCAAACTAATTTAGGATACCTCTCAACAAAAGAGACGCTGGACAAGTACCTTCAATTGGTTCAAGGGATTTTTCCAATAAAGCTGAGCACCTTCATATGAAATTGGGAAAAAAGTGTGTATCGTGAGTATTATGAGAGTCGTTGCCTGCATTTAGACGGTAGAGATTCAATGAAACAGACAATGACTAAAGTTGAAAGTGGGAAATAAACAAGACTGAAAACTTCACAAGATTAGTTTCTGGATGCATGATGATACTTAGAAATATAGATAATCTGGAAAATTAACATCCACCATTTGTGAAATAGCTTTCCCACTGAATTGTTTGTTTATATCGTTTGAGGAAACCAAGAAACTTCATAACCCGTTCAATTAAAACATGAAACAATTAAATATCTCTAAATTACAGATTTCTACATGTAGTGCCATCTAATCTCACACAGCCACTTGTATCGAAGGTTATCTATACATATTACACTTTCAATGAATGAGATTCTGTAAACAGTGGAGTATACAGCATCTACAAGCAGCATTCTCCTGCAAATTATATTTGAGTATATAAAGCATCTCATCCTCCTCCAATATAATAACTCAGTTTTGCTTCCGTGCTTATGTACAGTAGCATTCGTATATATAATTTATAGTAACAAGTACTAGGACGAGTATGCATTGAAACTGCCGTGAGAACGCAGTAACACTATTCTATCACATAATCTATTCTGGCAAAGCCATAACATGAGCAACTCCAACTTGACTGAAGTAGAAATAAAAAAAATTTAAAAGATAATAATAACGGAATTTATTTAGTTTTTTCTTACCTCATATATAAGAGATTCAACAGCTGTTAAGTACGGCAACTGCCCAAGAAAGAAATACTCCCTATCATTACAAGAATGTGTCTCGTATTTGGAGCACCACAAAGGTTCCTGTAGAAGTTAATATATTAAAAAATGAATAAAAACTTCTTTTTACGACTGATGAATGACAAAAAAATGGAAGAACAAACCTCAAAGAAATTTAGAATTATCAGCGCAAAGAAATTTAAGGACCAAAGAAAATCAAATCTAATGAAAATGAAGTATAGTCTTGCAGCACTCTGAAAGTTTGACTGATCAAGAATTTTCTCGGGTATACCAATGCCATCTTCAGCCTGCAAAATTCAGTCTCTATCAGCAATGACAAAAATGTTCTGTTGGCCAACGTTTAAAGTAAAACTAAATCCTTTTTTCCATAAACTCTATGAGAGTATCCTTGTTTCATCGACAAAGTTAATTGTTAGCACAAATCTTGAGCTTAATTAATCAATATTCCACACACGTTTGTACCATTTCTTGGCATAAAAATAAAGATGAGCACAGCCACTAACAAAAAAAAAAAAAAAAAAAAAAAAAGAGCAGAGTCAGGGAAACAAAATAAAGGTAGGGGACCGCCATTTTAGAAAAACTTCCATTTTGTTCTTTCCATTCTAGCACTTATCAGCTCTCAAATGAATATAGAAAATTATTGAGTTGAACTTGAAAGAACACAAAATTTCTCATTAATAGAGCTTTTTGTTTATTATTATTGTTATTGAGAAAATGTAGCAGAGCATATGTAGCCACATGCAAAATAAGTAGCATATACCTTCAGCTATACTAATGATGAGAAATGAAAATCTAGAAAAGTAAAACCATCTATTCTCAGAGAGAAAATGATGAGAATTGGAAATAGGATTAGAGCTCAGAGGGAGATAGATTATCGATGAATGTTGAATTTAAAAACAATATATTAAGCTGGAATTACAGTAAAAATAATCTTCTATGCAACTCGAGTCAACAACAGGAAAAATAATCTTCTATGCAAAACTACGACCAGTTCCAAGACATTCCACCGCTAAACCACTCCAATACCAAGGTCATTTCTCCATAGTCACAAATCCATATCTGAAAAGGCCAGGCACAAGATAAAGATTCCGCAAACCAAAAATCCGTCAAAACAATCCAAATAAGATTCAAAACTCATCATACTTAAAAGACACAGCTCCAGCTAAGGTAGAGAAACAAGGATCACAATGTTCAGTGAAGTGATAAAAGACCATAAAACATTTCCATCACCAATGAAAGAAGAAAAAAAAAACGCGCGCGAGAATCAAATGCGGCAAAAGAGTCTAACCAGATCCACAAGAGCAGCTGCTCTTTGGTACGCCGAGCCATAAGCGATGGCATCGGAGCGGCGCCTAAACCTGACATGCGGAATCTGACGTCGAGAGCTGGAGCTACTGCTACCTTCTCCTCCCAGCAGAGATTCCTCCATGTCCTTCGTTGGAGACTTCACAACAAACTGAAACTCAGAGCACAGGTAACAAAAGGAGGGAGATGGGAAGTTGGTGAGGGAGCTTCAATTTTGACATGAAATATTAAGAAACTCAATTAATGGACGTTGAATTTTGGAATTTACGGGATTGCCATCTTATTGAAAGGATGGTGACATGGCAGAGACATGTGGCATGCCACGTAATTGGATCCCCGGGATATTAGGGCCGAATTCGGTGTAAGCATCTCCACCATAAACATTTAATTACCACTGCGACAGAACGAATATTGTAGTGTGATCTTACTTTATAGTTAAATTATAAAAAAGATACAAAAATTTTGATTTATTAATCTTTAAAAAATTACAACATTGTCCTACCATTCGAAGATCCAATTTTCATTCAATATTCTAACTATAATAATTTTTTGAAAGTGAATGTTTTATTAAATAATTGATAAATATTAAGAAATTTAGTGAGTTTAATCAATAGGTTGCAAGTTTAGTTGACAAATATGAAGGTTTGAGTTTATAAGATAAGGACTGGAGTGTTCCAAAAACAAGCTTTTAAGCTTATAAGATACGGAAGCAAATAAACGCCACGGAAAAGAATGCACTAAAATTATCCATTGATATCTGTGGGGCCTGCGACCCAGAAGAAAGGGACAACTCAACCACCTGTTTGTCTGGAAGTAAATGTAAATTGAATCATAGCCAGCAGGCAATAGCACTGCACACTTTCAACACTGCTGTTTCATTGAATCATAGCAAAGGACACCCCCACCCCACATAGGGCGTCGGCAACACTGCATTCTTTCTCCTTCTCTTCGTGATAGGTGTCGGCATGAATACATTCCTTCTTTTCTGTTCTTTGGAAACTCGATGTCATGGTCAGGTCATGATCGTCGGTCATACGAACAGGAACACATGTCCATTCCAAACCTATTACCTATTACCATGGCCGTATGTCCATTCCAAACTTATTCCCAAGTCTCGAGTGGAATCCAATGCACAACACAAGCTTCGAAAAGGATTTGGGGAAGTAGGAAACTAGCAGTAACAGGCTAACACCAATGATGTCTTTGACTATCAAACATGTTTGGGAATGAAAGTAGAAAACTTGCATACAAACATTAAGAGGAAGTCATATGAAAAGATTTGAAATAGCAGGTAGAAGATATTCACACAATGTTTAAATTATACAGCCGACATTTTTAAATCTCACAAACCATAACAATATATGTACGAGGATAAATTTTATTCGATGCATTAAAACGATGCAATTTACGAGGCTGGTCATGCCCAGGATGGGCCGCAAACAGGGGTTGATTAAATTACTCACCACGCTCTTTGGGGCCCTGGACCTGCAGGAGTACTCAATCTGTCTAGAACTGCGTTGAAGTCGACCGTTTGCCCACTGTCCTCCATTCTCTGAATTATACTGGCAACATGGTCGCCCCTGAAACCCATGCCAACCAGTTTTTCGATTAAATGTGAATGACTTGGATTCCTGGCTGAGACATGGGGGCCTGTTGGAGCTTGAGGAGGAACCTGAGGAGGTGCATTGGCCGGAGGATATCCACTTTGATTGAAGTGGGATTGCTGAGACGGATGATGTGGCTGTTGAGGGAGATGGTGTGGCGGTCTTCCGCTTTCCCTATCATACATCATATATGCTCCTCCAGAGGATAGCGCAGGCTGTTGTCCAGGAGGCATATAGCCCTCGCCTGTTGCTGGTCCATAAGCATTTTTCACTTGAGGAGGTTGCTGTGGAGCAGAACCACCACTTGCAGCAGCATACCCATAAGGCACTGCATCCGCACGGCTTGAACCAGGTTGAGGAATAGATGCAAAAGACATTTGCATAGGCATGCTGCTTGACAGAGTCTCTGGCATAGAAGTTGGTTGATTTGGTGGGTAAGGAGAAGGGTAGACTGAAGTAGGCGGTGGTCTGATCTGAGGTTGCATAGAAGCCTGTTGTGGTGGTTGTGCCGGCTGAGATGGTGGCTGCGCCCATTGTTGTTGGTACTGATTAAATGGTTGTGGAGTTTGACTTAGCTGGGGATTGGTCATCTGCGAAACGTCTTGAGGTTGTGATGCCCGGTGATGGGAGTCAGATGAGATATACTGGTTCTGAGCATGCTGGATATGGGATGGTTGTTGACCAGGCAATTGGGATGAAGAAATGTAGTAAGATTGGTGTTGTTGAGGCACATTCTGAGGCAAAGCTGCTGAAGGGGGTGTCATAGGATTTTGCTGCGGGACGATCTGATGTGGCAAGGCCAAAGCTAATTGCTGGTTGTGAATCTCAGATGGATTTTCGTTCTTTTTAGGATCAGTTGAAACCCTCTCCTCATTTGTCTGCGAATGGCTCGACAAAGATGGCTCTTTCTGTGGGACCTGAAGTTTAGCCAAGTCTTTTTGAGTCTCAGCAAGCTCTTGCTTGTCTCTGATAATCTGTACAGATCTGTGAACCTACAGAAATGCATCAAGTACAAATTCAATTCAAATGTTACTAATCCTCTTGGTCAGTACCAAAATTTAAGAAATAAAAATGACGATAAGGCTTGAAAAGAGCAGTCACTTTTCATATCAAGTGCACGATTCAAGAGTCAACAAGTGATAAGGTTTAAGTTGCAAACTAATTATACTTTATACAGAATCATTAGAAACAGTTCATTTATCGCGTCTACAAATGATCGTATAATATGAATGAAAACAATGTTACTTTTTCATGATCATAAAGTACCAAAGAAGATCCTCAACTGACAAACTCTTCAAAGTTCTAAAGTCGTGGCTCACCTCTTGTACATGCTTCTCAATAGATTTAAGCTTCGAATCTGCCTCTTCATGGTCACGGGCCAAGTCAGACCGCATTTCTCCAACAGATTTATCAAGGTTGTAGCAATACAGTTCAAGTTGTGATAGGCGTGAACTTATCCCCTCGAGAAAACGCAAAAGGTTATCAGAATGCTTTTTCATGCTGTTCTCAACAGTAGCAATCACATCTTGATTAATGGAATCATCTGGTTGACCATATGCAGCACCAGGGAATACAGTAGACATTCTACTCTTGTGAAAATCCTGCCCATATAAATATGCACAACTTTAATCGTTCATGAAATAATACACATTGAATTCCTAATTTAATATGATTCCAGAAGACATAAACTGAGAGATGCTGCATGTATAGTAAAATTGATAGAATGGTTTATATAAATCCAAGGCAATTAAAAAGTACATAAAATCGTCGGGGATGCTCGAGCCACAATACGACTAGCAACAATACTTGCTGCCACTGCAAGCTGCTATTGCAGCTTCATAATCCTATGGGATTCTCCATCAGTAATACCAACTTTAACCATCAATGAGACTTGCTTATGAACGGAAAATACTAACAATAATAATCGAGTTAAATGTTCCTCTCTATCAGTTCATGAACCCATTATTTACAAGAACAAATAAAAGATGCAAGGAGGATAAGATACAAAACCCAAGACTACGTAAAAACAAATGTTCCTTTCGTCTAGGATGATTATTCAAAATTATATCAAACTCCAACTGAATTGAACAACTAAATTCATTCTGGAGACTGGAAAGCACCAACAACGTTCGCTCAACAATAAACCAGACAAGCATAAGGCCTAGAACTCAGCTAATGCAAAAATGGATTGGCATGGATCATCATCTCTACCCTTAACAATCGAGTACTCGTTTCTTAAGCCAAAAATAAACACCGCCCAATTAAACTACGATCAAAACTAGAATGTTAATATCAAAAATCACAAACCCTAATCGCACCCAACAATGAAAAATCGAAAATTACTTTCAGACATCCATAACCCAGGACAGAAAACTAGCCAAAGAAACGCAGGAACAAGTAATACCCCCACGAACCTTGCTAGAATTGGCAACGGAGACTGGATCGCTATGGCTACCGTTTGAAGGTTCCTGTTTAGTGTAGTCCTCAAATGAGCAAAGGATATTATCAGAACCAAAATCAAACGATTTGGGGGCGGAATTAGGGCGGCCTGCTGAACCAGACGCCATAGATCGCAGTGCGAAATCGAAGGAATGGGTGTGAAGGCTGAGATTTTTTAGGAAATAGAGAGAGATGGGGGTTTCCGATAATCCAGACCAAAATTATCTTGGGATGATATCTAATCCAAGACTGTGTTTATATAGACTTGAATAAGGTTTTCGATTTTTTTTTTCTTAAAAAGAAATAATTACAAAAGATGCGTGTCTAATATTCTTTTTATTTTAGAAAAATTATTTAATATGATAAATGATTAATATGCTTCAAAATGAAGCATATAAATTAGCAATAATATAAGATCGAGTAAACTTGTATACATCTTATTCTTCCGACTTTATTAGTATTTAATAATCAATGAGTTTTAAGATTAAAATATAAATAAAGGTGTTTAAAAAATTTAATGATCTGAAAAGTTCGATCAACTTAATCCAACCGGTATAATTTGAGCTGAGTTATGAACTTGTTGAGTTGAAATATTTATGACTCGAAATACTTATGGGAATAATTGCAAACAAATAGCATTGCATTACACACCATATGAACCTTCAAATTTTTCCTTGATTTTAGGTGGAAAGCAAAGGAATATTCGTAACATAAGATTTGGGACTGAGGGTAGAAATATTCATAACATAAGATACAATCAACTTCTTTTATATCTCGCAAACCACATATATATATATATACGAGAAGGAAGAACACAGTGGAATCCTAAACCAGTCTTTTATTCAATGCATTAAAAACACGCAATGGCTAGGCTGGTCATGGCCGATATGAGCTTTCAACATACAAATAGGCGACTGCTACTAAAATTACTGTCACCATGCCCGCTGAGGACCTCCAGAATTACTCAACCCATCTAGAACAGCGTTGAAATCGATAGGTTGCCCGCTCTCCTCCATCCTATGAATTACACTGGCAATGTGGTCACTCCTGAAACCCATCCCAACAAGTTTATCAACTATTTCGCCGTAGGGATGGTTCTGGTTACGCATAAAATGCGAATGATTCAGATGATTCCTGGCCATAACGTGCGGACCTGATGGATGCTGAGGAATCTGAACATTGGCCGGAGGGTATCCACTTTGGTTGAAGTGTGGTTGTTGGGGCTGAGGAGGATGGTGTGGTGGTTGTTGTGGTTGCGGAGGATGGTGTGGTGGTTGCTGAGGTTGCGGAGGATGGTGCGGTGGTCTTCCACTTTCCCTATCGTATATCATATATGCACCTCCCGAGGAAAGCCCAGATTGTGGTCCAGAAGGTAAATATCCTTCTCCGGCTTGTGGTCCTCCACCAAAAGCATTTTTGACTTGAGGAGGATGCTGGGGCATAGTACCAGCACTTCCAACATATCCATATTGCACGGTGTCTATGCGGCTCGAACCCGGTTGAGGAATAGGTGAAAATGACACTTGCATAGGCGGAGTCTCTGGCATAGAAGTCGGTTGATTCATCGAATAAGAAGAGTAGACTGAAGTAGGCGGCAGCCTGATCTGAGGTTGCATAGAAGGATGCTGTTGTGGTGGTTGTGCCTGTTGAGGTGGCTGCTGCGTCCATTGTTGTTGATACTGACTGAACTGTTGTGGTGGTGGTGGAGTTTGACTTAGCTGGGCATTGGTCATTTGATGTTGGCTCTGAGGATGCTGGATGTAATAAGGTTGCTGTTGGGGCACATTCTCCGGCAAAGCTGCTGGAGGAGGTGGATGTTGCTGTGGGACAATCTGGTGCGGCAGGGCAAGAGCTAGTTGCTGATTGGGATTCTTGGACGGAATTTCATTCTTCTTAGGATCAAAGGCACCAGGTGAAGCTCTCTCCTCGTTTGAATGCGAATGGCTCGACAAAGACGACTCCTTCTGCAGAAGATGAAGTTTGGCCAAGTCTTTCTGAGTCTCGACGAGCTCTTGCTTGTCTCTTATAATCTGCACAGACCTGTGGACCTACGGAGGACATCAAGGAAAATTTTAATTAAGATGAAACTGATAAGAGCAGAGGCTGACAACTTGAAACCATATTTCAAATACTGATTATCCCTAAAACGACAGAATCTGTATCAACTTAAACAAAATTAAAATGGTGTAATAGTTCAAACACAAACCCACTACTAGTAGATACTGTCCGTTTTGGCCTGTTACGTATCAGCATCAGCCTCACGGTTTTAAAACGTGTCTACTAGAAAGAGATTTCTACACTCTTATAAAGAATGTTTTGTTCCCCTCTCCAACTAATGTGGGATCTCACAATCTTCCCCCATGGGGACCAACGTCCTCGCTAGCACACTGCCTGGTGTCTGGCTGTAATACCATTTGTAATAGCTCAAACCCACTGCTAGTAAATATTGTCCATTTTGACTCGTTACGTATCGCTGTCGGTCTCACAGTTTTAAAACGTGTCTAACTAGGGAGAGGTTTCCACTGTTCCCTCCTCCAACCAATGTGAGATCTCACAAATGGTAATAACAAAAAAGAGAGCTTGGGGCCGTCATCGTTCACAACAAGTGCACAAATTTCCAGATTCAACAGATAAGTGTTGAGTTTAAGTTGCAAAGTAAATAATATTTCTACATATTGCTCGAAGTAGTGCATAGCTTACTTCTTGTAGATGCTTCTCAAGAGATTTAAGCTTCAAATCTGCCTCTTCGTGGTCACGAATCAAGTCAGATCGCATTTCTCCAACAGATTTATCAAGGTTGTAGTAATTCAGTTCAAGTTGTGATAGGCGCGAGCTTATTCCCTCAAGAAAACGCAAAATGTTATCAGAATACTTTTTCATGCTGTTCTCAACAGTAGAAATCACATCTTGTTTCATGGAATCTTCTGGCTGACCATAAGCAGCAGCAGGATAAACGGTAGATATTCTGCTTTTGTGAAAATCCTGCTCAAACAAACATTCAAAACTCAATTATTCATCCAATAATACACAATGAATCCACTATTGTTGGATAGGACACAAAACTCGGTTAATCAATTCGATGAAACCGATAATTATAAAACTTAATATAATGAGACAACTATAGAATGTTCTTCCTCTGTAATCTCAATTTCAACAATGAGAGTCAATATCAGACAGAAAATATAACAGTGTTCAGCTCACTTCTCACTATGTCTGTTCACGAACCGATATACCAAACACCATAACTATAGGATAACGTCCTTCTCTTCACGAACCGATAAACCAAACACTGATATATCAATTGTCTGTTCCCGAACCGACCATTATAAAAAAGATTCAATTCCTCGTGAAGGAGGATCCTAAGAACATTTCTGAGCACACAATGAAATTTTCAAAATCTTAGGGGGAAACGCTCATTACACTCAGAACCAAGTTTTACACAGCTCAAGCAAGATTGAATCACTTTGTTCCACTCTGCAGATTGGACAGTACTACCAACACTATTGACAATCAGGATCAAATTCAAAGTTACTTCAAAATGGATCGACTCAACCGTAATACACAAATTAAAACCAATAATTGAAAGCATACATCATTACAATCCAGAAAGGTCACTGCACGAATGTTTATCCCCAGCCTCAATCACTCATTTCCTAACCCAATACAAATCATTGTGTCATAGCGAGTTATTCCATTCGACTATAAAAACGTAACTTCAACAATCCAAAACCCTAATCGAACACTCAACAATAAGAACTCGAGAATTTTCTTTCAAACACCAACAAGACAGAACCACAACCAAAAAACCAACCGCAGCAATATGAAAACAACAAACTCTGACCTACCTTGCTAGAATTCGCGACGGAGAGGTCGCTATGGCTACCGTTGGAAGATTCCTGGTTGCCGTAGTCCTCATAAGAACAAAGAACATCGTCGGTACCAAAATCAAACCCTTTAGAGCCCGAATTAGGGCGACCAGTTGAACCAGACGCCATGGATCGCAGTGGGAAATCGGAAAGACGAGAGTAAAACGGGGACCGATTCAAAGAACGACAATAGAAAGAGATGAATTTTTTTCTTTTTCTTTGCGATTATCGAGAAGGAAAGTTTCTCCTTATGGCTCTTTCCGCGAATGAACTCCCCATGGATTTGATTCAGAGTAATCTTATAGAAACGAATTTCGATTTTAAAAATAAATTAAATTACAAAAAAAAAAAAAAAAAAAAAAAAAAAAAAATCGAAGAAACGTTAAAGGCATGGGGAGATGACTTTGTTATAATATTTTGGATGATTTGAAGTGTACGGCCAGATATGAAATTAGTGATATGGGCTCGCCGACCATCTTCCGATTTTGCAGATCAGTCCCTCTATTTGGGTTTATTTCCAATTGTTGCCTTTGTTTAAATTATTGTTGATTAATCAATAATCAAGCTTAATTATTCTGTGGTTTTGTACTAATTGGTAGCTGGTTTTTTTTTTTTATTTCGTTGTGATTCGCAACTAATTATATTTTATAAAGTTTGGATTTTTCATTAAATTTTATTTCGACTTTTGTTATTATTTATTTTTTTAATCTATATATAAAAAATGGTACACGCTCGAGAAGCCAAATTCTTATTGGTATTGTCGGAATAATTCTAAAATTAAAAAGGTGATTTTAACCATTTTACCGACCTAAAAAAAGTATTTAAAAAAAAAACATGTATAACTATATCGAAAAACATTCTATCCTTAAAATAAATTAGAGTCGGTCTCATTCTGCTTGAGAAAACCATAAAAGTCTTCAACTTTATACTAAAAGAAATCCTAAATATATTAAACAATAATATATGTCAATTATCGTTCAACATCATTCATGTTCACTTGTTTCAACTATAACATGTCTCGTAATTTTATTAACATACATTATCTAATGTTTTTCTTAAAATGGACGGCTAGAAGCTCGAGTAGATAGAACTCATTCCAACTAATATCTGAACGACTCAAAAAACAAGATTCGATTCAATTGAGCTATAGGAAAAGCTCGAAAAGGCGAAACCCTTTTACAAAACATGGCCTAAAGACAGACCAAGTTGAAAATTGTGTGTGGTTTGTGTCAAGTCTTTTTCAAAAGAAGAGGATCCAAAAGAGAGTGAAGAGAATAGAGAAGAAGCAAGAAGTAAACAAGGAGTCCAAGGAGGCCTAAAGCCAGAGCTCCACTGACTTGCCTACAGTAACTCGCCACCTGGTCGCATATTGGAAGCCATCCCGCGTATGAATTCCCATTCTTTCCTATTTGCGCCACCGCCAACGCCGCCGCTATGCTCGAAGTCAGCAACATCGTCAATATCTACTTCAAAAATAGCGTCAAATTAGCCATCGAAACAGAGTGGAAGAAGAAAAGGGTCCCCTGTTTTGAGAGTTACCACATCGAAACAGAGCACTAATCGCCAGAGCAAGCTCTCCGCCGGAAGAAACAGCACGAAAAACCCATAAACACTCGCAATAGCATTTGCAATCACGAAGTACCTCAAGAACAACAACAAAAAAAACTCGATTCAGAAAGGAAAAAAAAAACCCATAATCCAAGAACACGAAAAAGAGATGGAATGTCACTTGAAGGCTGGTGTATGAGTGTATTTGGCTTCAAAAGACAGGCTAAAAAACCTGGCCTCTTCATGACTTGCGGCCATAACAATGGCGGCAGAAAGAGTCGAGCCCAAAGCAAGAAGCCTTAATAGAAGCAAGCAAATTCTCTTGGGCTTGCCCATTGAAGAAATGGGAGGTGATTGTGGGAGATGGGTGCTCTGTTTTTGAAGTGATTTTAAAAATGGGTATGAATTTGGGTCGTTGAGGATTCTCAACTGTCATCGCCACCGCCCATTTGAGAGCCAAAATGGTGAGGTGTGGGGGAAATTAAAAGGGTTGGTGAACAATGGCGTATTGGGTTTGGATTTTGACGAACTGCTAGAGATTTGGAGATTTGGAGATTTGGGTGTTTGCTACACTCGAGGTGAGACAGATGGTTCTGTTCGGCTGTTTTTCACCTAATTCTTCCCCCCATTCCTCATTTTCTTCAAATTCTTTGAATACATTTTGGTTGCTTCTAGTTCTCATTTTTTTCTTCCTATGTTTTTTGTTAAAAAAAGCTCTTACTTAACACACGATATCATTTTAAGATGAAATTCACTCATAAATAAGGACCATTCAATATTCTCGTGATAATGAAAATTCTCTCGATTAATATATAACTCACCCGAAAAAAACATCATTAGAAAATGATATGAGACAATAACACGAGGTAATGAAACATTAGAGATCAACCTGAATTTTTAGTTACTTTTAAAATTTAGTGGTTCGAATGCTTTTGAATGTAATTGAAATAATTTTTTTTAAATGATTTTAATTGAATCTTCAAAACATCTATATAATAAAATAAAGAAATTCATAATAAAAATAATATTTATATAAGCTTAATTTTTAAAAATAAAAAATAAAAGGAGACAAAAATATAACAGATTTTGAAGTATATAATATTATATATATATCAAAATGAAGTTTTTTCCCAAATCAAACATATGTATGCAAACCTAAATCACCCACTTACATTATTTTGGTAGAAACCATATTCAAATTATAAACGTTACATTTTATAAACCTAGGGCTAACAAAAATAAAAATAAAAATAAAAACTTTGAACCAAGCATTAATCAATACACTTTATTGTAAATTTTTAAATTAAAAAAATATATTAAATTTAAAAATTAAAATTTATGCTTCAATTAAGTTTAAACTTAAAAATTATCAAATATTTTTAAAATTTAGAAATCTATTAAATATAAAATTAGCTCGTATTAATATTAATTTTAAAAAAAATTAACAAAATGGAGGGCATTATAAAAATAACCCTGTTTTTAGAAGATTTTTATAATATCATTTACTTTGTGCAATTAATTGGGAATTAAATATTTCAATTGGTGGGGATACAGAACAGTGCATTAAATTTCAATTGCTGGCAAATTGCAGGCTGTCAACTTGAATTTCCAACTCACCCATTCTTTGCCACGTGTTATTCTCAGGATTCATGCCTCAAGCTTAAATTACCCGATTGCCCATGAAAACAACACCCGTTTCTACTATTTACCAAATTGCCCTTTTATTTTTATCTAGGTTGTACCTTCCAAAATAAGGAAAAAAAAGGCAAAAGTATAAATTTGAATTATACATTCTCTAATTTAAATTTGTGTTTATAGAATAGTTTGTATTTTTCGGTTTAATAATATGAAAATAATCAGCCAGGGGTATGAGCGTAAATTCACAAACAGACAAGTATAGGTAAAACTTTGTTTGTAGTGACATGACCACTGAACCGTAGCTTTCACATTGCTATATAAACGGCTCGTCTTTGCCCCCAGAAATTTCCTCTCAATTTCCCTTCAACAAAGAAAAGAAGAAAGCCACCTCATGCCTATGAAGAAAACAGGGCTGTTCGCCGCCTCCGTCGCCGCTGCCTCCGCCACCGCCCTCTCTGCTCCGTCGTCCTCCGCCGGCGTCCTCAAAACCACCTTTTCCCATCAGGTAAAATACCCAAATTCTCATTTCAATTCAAAGTTCATCTGAAAACAAAAGTCTTGGGAATTTCAGGAAAAGGTCATCATCAGAGATGAAGAAAGTAGTCCGTCGAGAATATCGCCACCGTCGACGGCGGCGGATCAATTCGCTCCGAGATTCGATGGGCTGCGATTCATTGAAACTCTGGTCACTGCTCATAGATGATAAGCTTGGGAACTGGCGATAAATGGGCCATATCTTTTTCTTTTCTTTTCTTTTTCTTTCTTTTTTTCTGTATTATTATTAAAAAAAAAAAAAAAAAAAAAAAAAAAAAAAAAAAAAAAAAAAAAAAAAAAAAAAA